ATATACACACACACACACATATATCTATCTATATTTACATATGTGTGTGTGTCCCTGTACAATGCCAACTTGCGGCATTAGAAGACTTTCATTGAGTTTTATTAGTGACTTTCACTATTAATACAACTTCCATTGATAAGTGCACCTTAAGCAGTTAATTGATTTCTAATTTATTTCAAAATAGTAAACTAGATTGTGTTGTTTAGAGACTACTGAGATTCATTATGTTTAGCGGCGGCTTGAATCTAGTTCGTTGAGGTTGAAACAAACGAAGCCGTAACTTCTATGAACACCTTCTTACATTTTATTGAAAACGTGTAAAAACTAATTACACAATTATTTCCGTCTCACACAAAAAATGATGTTCTCCTTAAAATAATGTTCGCTGCAGGCATTCAGCTGCTAGCCACTTAGCTTATTTAGCTAACAGTTGTGTGACAGCAGCCAGCAGTAAAGAGCTGTTCGAAAGTAAATACCTTCAGTCCGGCGGCTTTCAGTCTGAGAGAAGATCCTCCCTTTGACATTTACCACAAAATGATTTTAAAAACATCAAGCCAGTCTTTTAAACCAAAGCAGTTTCTTATTTTAGTCGCTTCAAAATCGCAGCAGCCTTATATTAGTCAACGCCATTTTCCTTTCCCTGACGCCGGAACGGAAGGAATGACGGGAAATTGAGTTTTGTGCAGTATTCGTCCTCCAGGACTTCGGAAAACTTTTCAGTGAAACAGTCGACTTAAACAAACAATTTCAGGTCCATGATTGAAAATCACAACTAAAATTCAATGAAAATCTTCCAAAGCTTCTAATTTTTAATGTTTATAGTTTGTTGCATAGCAATTATGTAGCTATAACAGAAAATAAAAACACTAAATATTGTCATGTAAAAACAGGAATATATTCATTCACCCATCCACTCCTCCATCCTTCCATCCACTCACCTACCCATCCACCAGCAGTTACATGCAAAAGTGTCCCTGGGCAAGACACTGAACCCATCAGTGTATGAATGTGATAAAGCTCTGATTAGTCTCTTTAGAATGATTTGTTCAATTAGCTTTGTAGAGATCTAGTAGAGTGCTGTATGAATGCGTAAATGAGGCACAGATTGTAGTGTAAAGTGCTTTGAGTATCTCGATAAGATAGAAAGGCGCTATATAAGTACAGTCCATTTACCATCCACTCACCCATCCATCCAACCATCCATCCATCCATCCATCCATACATACATACATACATACATACATACATACATACATACATACAT